AAGCTAAGCTAAAGCTAAAGCTAAAGCTAAGCTAAAGCTAAAGCTAAGGCTAAAGCTCCCAGGGGACTGGGGGAACCGCGGGGCGGGGACTGGGGGAACCGCCCGGGGCGGTTTCCATTGCCCGGCCCTTTAAGCAAAGAGAGTAAGAACCCTTCTAGGCAGAGCCTAGGTAGGGAATGTGGCAAATCCTTTGTGTTTTTGCACCCTGACCCCGCCGATCTGCGTGTGGGGTGCCACCGAATTTCAGAAATGTGGCAAATCCCATTTGTTTTTGGACCCTGACCGCGCCGATGTGCGTGAGGGGTGCCACCGAATGTCAGAAATGTAGCAAATCCGTATGTTTTTGGACCCTGACCCCGCCGATCTGCGTGAGGGGTGTCAGCAAATTTTCGAAGTGTGGCAAATCCCATGTGTTTTTGGATCCTGACCCCGCCGATCTGCGTGAGGGGTGCCACCGGATTTCAGAAATGTGGCAAATCCCATTTGTTTTTGCACCCTGTCCACGCCGATCTGCGTGAGGGGTGTAAATTTTTACCCACGCCAGCAATTCAGAGCATATGTTTGGCCGTGGTAAAAATGACCGTTTTGGCTCTCCCCCCCTCGCGCGGTCCATCAACAAGGAACAGTAAGCAGCAAGGAGTCAACAAGGAACAGTAAGCAGCAAGAAGCAGACCTGTAACAGTGGAAATTGGAAGCTGCAACTGGTACAGGAAACTGCGAACCTTCGCCCTACAGCCTGGTGGCCCCACAAGGGGGCCGGCAGATTAGCATCGGCTCCACAACGCCGAGCAAGCGACATGGGGCTTGGATCGTTTGGTAGAAACCTCAGCCTTGACAGCCTGCCTCCAGGCAAGTCGGCCGTACCTGCGAAAGCGCCTGCCGCCTGGCACGGACGCTGGAATTTGCCTTCCCATTCCACTGCACACTGCCTTCGCACCCACCCCCCAGAGACGAACGGGAGAAGAGAATGAGCCGATTGGTCTCCATACCCCAGCCGACTTAGGTAAGAGGGAGACCATCGCACATCTGATCTGGTTAGGGATGGTGGCAGTAGCTTCTATGATGCTGTATATCACCGCGAAGCAGGTCAAGGCGCCAGCAGTCCAGGCAGCACAATGACGCGTGTTAAGTCCATCCACGCTCGCAGCCGAGCGACTACGATAACTCCTCGAGACGCCGCGCAGCAGATCGGGCGACGCGACAGGCAACGGACCGTCATAATTGATGGGCCCTTGCGTGGGGGGGCTGCCTGGTAGGGTTCCAAAGGCCGTTTAAACGAGCGGCTTCACTGTCCAACAAAGCTCGAGGATCAGCAGGAAGCACCCCGTTACGGGATAACGCCGAAGAAGGAGTTCATGGAACAGCCTCTCGAGTCCACCAGTGTACTCGGCGAGCCCAAGCATCCGAGCCATCCAGAAGCCAAGACCTCCACTCTTCGTTTTTTTTCAGCAAATCGATGCAAGCCTGCGCCTCCAGAGGCCCGCGATCCAGCGTGTCGGAAACGTTATTGACCATGCTTTGGGCGCACGGCGTATTAGCTTTGCCCGAGACAGATTTCCACGCCAACTCAGGAAGCCTACCGCGGGTTCCCAGGATGGGAGGGGTGACTTGCCGATCCCCGTGGATTTCCGTCACGGCCTTGTTAGCCCAGAGTTTGTGGAGGGCGTTCAGGTGTTTTTGAATAGCGCCCCTCGAGGCTCGAGCGCGCACAAGATCGAGCCCGCACTGCCCACAGTCGAATTCCACGCCCCAGGAAGGCGCCTGGGGCGAAGGTTCAATCGCCTCAGCAACAGGGAGAGGTGGGGGATTAAACGAATCCGAGAGCCTGCAAATTCGCGATGTGCTTGAAGAACTGGACCCATACTGGCTCGCGCGGCTTCGCAGCCGCTTTATATCTGACAGTCGTGCGCTTGATGGCCCAGGACAAGCCGCTGGACGCGACGAACAAGTCAATTTTCCTAACGCTCTCCTTCGAGGTGCCAGCGCACGTGCCCTAAGAGCCGGGAAAGACGATGTTAGCCGAAAGAGAATGCACCAGATCACTAGCGGCCAACTCCTGAGGTTCCATCTGGAAATCGGCCTTCACAATACACGGACCCTGATACCATGATAACAAGGATCCCAACGCGGCTATCATACCGAGGTTGTTCTCCGAAATGCCCTCCGAGTCCTTGAGATAAGCAGACGCCGCCAAAAACGACATGTCCCCAGGAATCTGGATGACCGAAGCCGCGACACGATTCGGGACCAGCTCAGGACCGTCTCCATGGTCGTGCATGCCCTGGAAATCCTTACACAACAATTGCAACTCCACCAGACGACCCGAGCCTCGCGCCAGGAGCAGCTGGAAGGGATCGGGATCTCCACCCTGCACGCAAGGCCCGCTGAGAGGCGTCGCAGACCTGATAGCAGGAAACGAGGCGGTGCTCCTGGACGAGAAGCACATGCGCTGACGTCCGACTTGGCCACGACTTCGCGGCCCCCCAGCCCGTGCCATTTGCGGCTTCTACCTCCAACTCAAAGCTGTCCGAACTCGAGCGAGTCGGGGCCCGAAGACTTGTGCCAACTGCCAGGGATGGGGCCGGGGGGGCGGGGAGGCGAATTCGCCTGGCTATGGCCGGGGAAAGGTCGGCATCACGAAGTTTCCGATCGCCACTAAGATTAAGAATTGTTGCTTGGCCCCTCGTCTCCATGGCCCCTGGTGGGCGCGCAGAGGGAGGCGAGGGGCTAGACGGAGTATGTTGGCTGCCCGCCCTAACTAGCGCCCTTGCCGCGCCAAGCATGGCCCTGGTACGTTCGCGCACGTCCGTGGGCGTCGTCGAGGCAGCCGTTGCCGAATCAGGAGCGTCGGGCCCCGCCTCACCGCGACCGACCCCCTTCCGCTGCAGCTCTTCCATAGTGGCCTGGCTGCCTCCGCTGGGAAGCCCGGGTGAGGTGGGGTTTGCAACGCCTTCCCGTCAACGGGCTCCGCGTTATGCGTGTCCGACCTGCGCTTCTTGGCGAGGCGCTCCACACACGCGGACTGCTCAGCTTCGATGCGGTCACTGGTCGCAAGGACATCGCCGAACAACTTCGTGGATAGCTCCTTGAAGCCCGCCTGCAGAGTTGCCTTTCGGCGAGCGAACTCCTCGAGGTCGGAAGGGGGACAGTTCATGCTGGCTGTTGTCGATGCCCAGGAGCTCGCCGTCGTCGACGAGCACCAGGCCTCCTTTGTCGCTCGCGATGATGTCCCGCAGGCTGATGCCCCCAGCGGCCGCAGGAGGGGCGGGAGGCTCAGGGCGATGAACAGACTTGCGCAGCTCCTGCACCAGCTCATTGCGCACGTTGTCCTGCTCCACGCACTCCGCCTGCGCTGCGGCAGGCTTGGGCTCGCACTCAGCCAGCCACTCACGAGCCTTCTCGACGTTCGTGATGGGGCTGCTGAGGCACTTCTCGAGGATCTGTACCTTGTGGATGGCCTCCGCCGCCTGGCGCTCCAGAGGCTTGACAGCTGGACCTTTGGATTCAGCCACCTTCTGCTCGCTCCATGACTCGCGCTGCTTGCGAGCCTGCTTGTCCCCGAACTTGATGGCGATAGCCAAGAGAAGGTTGATCTCCTCGACCGTGATGTCCTTCGGCATGTCGGCCACGCCGTTGGAGCCAGGCAGGAGGCGCGGCGGTCCTCTCTGCCACGCCCCGCGCGTGCGCGGCTCGTCAGAGACCTCGACATCCACGCGAGGGCGACCACAGTGCTTGCACCGCTTGAACCATTGCTGGTTATTGGCGCAGCCACAGTCGGGGTAGGAGCATTTCCAGCCTTGCTGACTGGACTTGTCATAGTTGCCATGGTGTTCCCAAGACGGCATCTTCCCCGCCATGGCGAAGTCGCCCTGGAGCTGGGAAGACAGCCGAGCGCCGAGCCGAAAAGGCTCGCCGCCACCAAGCCGTTCTGAAGCGTCGGATGACTGCAAGCTCAGGAGCAATGCCTGAGCCAGAACGGCTGTTTCCCAAAGGGAATGGGACGATTGTTGCTTCTGGGGGCGCTCTTGGGACGCCTCTCGAGGGCCTCTGGGGCCGTCTAGGGGCTATCTTGGCCGTCTTAGAACGATCCATCGGCGATTCGGGGCCCTCTTGGACCATCTTGTGGGCCTCTTGGGGCCCCCATGGCCCGTCGTGAGGCCCGTGACGCGTTCACCCGGGGCCGGCCGGACCCCCCCCCCTCCCTCCAAACCGACCGGACCGGGCCCCGGGGGGAGGGGTTTGGGGAGGAGGAATCATCTCACACGCCGATGACCCCAAGGGGTCGGCGGATTTTTTCAATCCGCGGCCCCAAGTGGCGGCCCCAGATGTCCCGTGCCCTTCTCCAGGGGTGGTGGTTAGTCACGATCCGTTTTGACCCGGGGCCCTGGAGGCCGAGATCCCGGAAGAACCGCCGGATAGAATAGAACAACCAGTCTTTGGACCTCTGAAGTATAGGGGCAGGGATGGAGTTCCAGGGCGGTTGCCCAGACATGCGACGCCTTGATTTGTGCCATACGCGGTCCTCGGAAGTCCCGAACCTTCCCCCGGGACCGATGCTTCATCCCGAGCCGTTGTTTGACGGGCCTTGGGGCCCCAAATGCCTCCCGCCCTGATTTGTTGTTTGCGCCGCGATCCTGTGTGGGTATGCAGGCTGTCATGGGAGGGCGAGCCATCCCGACCCCGACGATCGGCGTTTACTGCACGGCGCCAGGCGGTTACTAGACAGCCCTACCCTGTTCGATTTCTTCCTTAGGTGCGTTTGCTGAACGGCCTCGTTGGTCGAGGTGTTTACTATGGGGGTGGATTCTCGGCGCTCTAGGCTTCAAGTCGTAGATCGACTACAGAATTGATTTGCCCCAAAATTGAGCTCGTCGTCGAGTCGACGGAAACTGCGTAGAGTGTTCGTAGAGCTACGAGCATGTCTGCGCATGTGCTCGTAGAGTCGACGAGGACACGAATTCTGGGGCAAATCAGTTCTGCAGTCGATCCCCAGTTCGAAGGCTGGACCCTGGGCGGCCCGTCCACCTGCGGCCGGGGGACCGCGTGAGCTTCCTGCCCCCGGGGGCGCCCGCCTCCGAGCTGGGGGGCGGCCCGCTCGTCTGATGGGCCGATTCTCCACCACCACCACAGGCAGGAGAGGGGAGCAGGGGGAGGAGGGAGGAGGAGGGAGGGGAGGAGGGAGGGAGAGGAGGGAGGAGGGAGGGAGGAGGAGGAGGGAGGAGGAGGAGGAGGAGGGAGGAGGGAGGGGCAGGAGGCAGGAGGGAGGAGGGAGGAGGGAGGAGGGAGGAGGGAGGAGGAGGAGGAGGAAAGAGGAGGAGGAGGAGGAAGAGGAGGAGGAAGAGGAGGAGGAGGAGGAGAGGAGGGAGGAGGAGGAAGAGGAGGAGGAGGAGGAGGAGGAGAAGGAGGAGGAGGAGGAGGAGGAGGCGGAAGAGGAGGAGGAGGAGGAGGAGGAGGAGGAGGAGCAGAATGAGGAGGAGGAGAAGGAGGACCTCCCCATCCTCACTTCTCCCCTGGCCGATCTGTGGTAGTGGTGGTGGACAACGGGCCCATCCTCGTCTACGAGCTCGCGCTGCCCGGCCAGCCGGCCTCCGCGCCGCCCCCGGAGCCCGGGCCGCCGGGCACCATCCGGGAGTGGCTACGCTCGCTGGAGGGCCCCGCGGGCGGGCTGCTGCAGTACGAGGAGGTTCTCTGGGCCTCCTGGATGGGGTCGGAGCAGATGGGGTCGGAGGATCGCGCCGCAAGGCGAATGCATCGTCGATGCGGCTCGACATGGAGCCCGAGCTTCTGCACGCCGACGTCGCTGGTGCATCGCCGACGTTGCCGGTGCATCGCCGATGCATCGCCGATACATCGCCAATGCATCGGGGATGCGGCGCGATCCTCCGACCCCATCTACCCCGACCCCATCTAGGAAGCTTTTAGTTCAGAGAAGGAAGAGGTACCCATATACCCAGACACTCTCGCGGTGTGAACAAAATCACCACGGGAGGTTTTTCGCATTTTTCTGCCACCGGGGACCCTGGCCTCGGGACCGTCAAAAACGGATTCAGGTTGAAAAATTAGCCCCGGAGAAGGGGTCGAGACCTTTGGGGGTCGACGTTGTTTAAAAAACACTACGTCGGGGGTTTGGGTATGCTCTACCCTTCCCTCGTTTCCCCATTGTTGGGTCTCCTTGGCGGCCCTCGTCGCCACCGCGGGATTTGCCTCGGTCTTCTGGTCAGAACGCACTCCGGGAGAGGTCCAGGGAATAGCAGTATCGGTATTTTTTGGTCTCCGCGGAGGTGCTGCTCAACCAGTACGACGACGTCTCCCAGATAAGGAGCCTGTACGCGGACAACATCGGCGCGTTCTTCGAGGACGTTGGTGTGGAGAATTCCAACCACAAGGCCAGTTTCCGGCGCGCCCTCATGAGGCTGCGGGGCGTCTGATGCGGCAGCCCGCCGGGAACGCGTGCGCCAAAGGCGTTTCCGCATTCACTGCCTCTCTTTGTGTCCCCGTCATCCTATCATTGTCCTCCTTCTTCCCTTCCTCCTCCTTGGCGTTCTCTTCCCCGCCATGGTCATTCAACTTGCGGACGACAGGCGCTTCGAAGATCAGGACGGGTGGCCCAGTTTCCACCGCAAGATCGCCTATCAGTCGGTTGTTCGCAGGGCTGTTGAGGCGCTCAAAGAACGGGTGAACAAGGAGAACTGGAAGAAGGAAGGACGAAGAGGGGGGCGATGAGGAAAATTGGAAGGAGAGAGGGGGCGAAGAGGAGAACAAAGAGGGGGGCGAAGAGGAGAACTGGAAGAACGAAGAGGGGCGATGTTTCGAAAGCGTGCGGGAGGTGCTCGAAGAGGTCCGGAGCTGCTTGCTGGCCTCCAGGGAAGGTACGGGAACTCTGGGAATGGGGGGGGAGACCAGGATGTTCGGGCGAAGGGATCTTGGGAAGAGCCATGGGCCATGGGAGCCCACGTGGGGCCTCGGAGGTGGATCTGGCATGCTGTTTTTCATGCTGCTGATGCCCCTCGTCGTCAACCCTGTGATTATTCCGCTCCGCGTCGTCCTCGTCCTGCTCCTCCCCGGCACGTTCCTCCTCCTCCCGCCGCTCTCTCTCCCTCTCTCTCGCTCTCTCACGCTCGGTCTCCCTCTCCTCTCTCTCTCTCTGTTGCGTGCTTCCGCCCTCCCTTCGTCCTGTCGTCGCTCCTCTTCTTCCTCCCGTTGCTGTCCTGGTTCTGCGCAGATGAAGCACGGTATGCATCAAGTCGGGCATGTCCCTCTGCAGGAGGAATAATGACAAATAGTCAAAAGATAGTCAAGGGACGATGTTTCCAGTCTGTTCTTCTATCATGTTTGATTGTTTGATTACTTTTGATTTTTCGTCCAAGATCCGCCTCTAGGGGGACATGCCCGGCCTAAGTACAACAGAAGCTCTTCCGCCGTTGGTGACGCCTGCCCGCCCAGGCAGCTGGAAAAGTTTCTGCCCCTTGTGGCAGGCGTCGCCGACGGCGGCACGGTTTACTCTGTACCATTCTTCGCCCCCCGAGGGGTTTCCCGGCTCCGTGAGTGGCCTCTCTCGCTCCTCTCTCCCGTTCGTCCTGCGCCCGCCGTCCCTGCCCTTGGGGGGGGGGGCGGGGGGGGAGGGGGGCCGGCGTGTCGGTGAGTGCCGTGCTCCCTCGGGAGGCCTTCGGCTCCGCGGCTCGCGCTCGCCATCGAGCCTGCGCCGCCGTTTGGATTGGGTACAGTGGAAGCCCATGCCAAGAAACACCCGGCTTGCCTCCAGGGTGCCCTGGGTTTCTGGGGTTTCGATGGCTACGCTGTGGGGAGCGTGACGTTGCCACACCGAACCTCAATGGACGTCCTGGGGTCTCAGAATTTAGCCTCTTGCGGAAGGTTTCTCATGGTCGAGCTCCTTCTGTAGGATGTCGTGGTGGATGCGTCCCCGGCCCTGTCCCCCAAATTGGTGTAGGTGCCTGTTTTTCTTTGGATTCGGGCAAGTTTACTTGCATGGACGGGGGGGGGCTGAGTCTGAAGCAAGCCGAAAACAATTCGACGTGCGGAGATCACGCAAGTCGAAAGGCACTTGCACGCTCGTGGTCGGTCGAAGAGGGGCGAGGGGGGGAGAGGGGGGGGGTGGGGTGGGTGGGGTGGGGGGGGGGGGGGCGGAACGCCATGCAAGTAAGCTTGCCTGGATCTAAAGAAAAACAGGCTCTAGGGGATGGCAGGATGTCGGCTCCGCAGCTGCCCCTCGCAAGCAGAACTACTTCCCGCATCGGTGTTCGCCCGGGGTGCCCCGGGAGCCGCGGCGGCTCTGTGCCTGCGGGCCTGGGCCCAGGCGGCCCGCCCGCTGGGCAGCCCCCATTCACGCTTGTTCAGGGGTTCGCCGTGCTACGAGGAGGAGGAGGAGGAGGAGG